GGGAAAGAGCAGTCCAGGTGCCGAGATTGTATATGAAAAAGGGAAAAAAGAACCTGGTGTGTTTAAGAAATATACAATATTCTCATACTGGGAAAAACAAGAACGCAGCCCTAGCTGGTGTGGCTGTTGGGGGAGCATCATCCCATACACCGAAAGGATGGGGGTTCCATTCCCGGTCAGGGCACATACCCAGATAGCAGGTTCGATTCCCAGATGGGGTGTGTATAGGAGGCAACCAATCAATGTTTGTCTCTCACATCAATGTTTCTCTCTCTCTCTCCCTCTCCTTTTCTCTCTCAAAATCAATGAAAGCATGTTTTCCCGTGAGGATTTAAAAAAAAATCAGGACTGCCGACCAAGAGAAGGGGACGTAAGGTAAAGGGACAATCACACACGACATGAGACACAATAATGCATGGCCTCAGTGAGGCTGGCACACCAGGGCTCTCCAACAGCCAGGCTATGAGCCACTTGATTGAGAAATTATGGTTCCCATAACTTAGCAAATGCATATGGTCCGGGCACAGAGGACGTATCAATAAGCTCATCTCAGTGTCACCTCCTCAGAGAAGCCTTTCCTGACCACCCTACGTTCCCCGAAGCGTTTCGTCCACTCTCATATCCCCAGAGCAGAGAGAAGCGTCTGGCACACAGTAGGTGCTCAATCAATATTTGTTGAAGGAATGAACAAATAAGGGAGGGAGTGAGGAAGACAGGCACAGCCTCTGCCCTCAGGAAGCTTACAAGATGAGCAGGGAGTTTCAGTTACGGGGAACATGGTATATGGCATCACAGCACTGCCCAGAGGAGTCAAGGAATTAAAAGAGAAAAAAATGGAGCGCCAGTGAGCCGAGATGTGTTAAGAACCAGCGGCGGAGCTCAGGTTGCAGCCGCAGTTAATAGAGCACGTGTCCCTGCCTGGTGCATCACCACCACCCCCAGCAGCAGTCAGTCTTCTGGGACCCTGCAAAGCGTGCAGAAAGGCTGACAGCTCACAATCAATACCATGTTCACTGATGCAGGGAGCAACATTATCACATCCAAGATGTTGCCCCCACATCCCGCTCCAGCACTAAATATTCCCCATAACAAGGCTAAGGGGAGTGACAAGAGCTATTATTTTCAACCCTCCCACTTGGAAGCAAGAGGTGAGGCGAACCTTTCCCTGGATGTTCTTAGGGGAAAGCAAGCCAGTTCCTCCAAGAAATCGCTCGAAGCTGATCCCAGGCCTAACACAGCAAGACAGGGGTGCGAGAAGATTGGCATTTCCACTTTGTCCGGGTGTCCACGATATAGAAGGGGAGGCTCTCTGGGCGACTGCGAGGCAGGTGGATGGTCCCACACACACACCCAGGTTGGCGGGGAACGTGCGAGGGGTCGATGCTGGGCTGTGTTCTATGTGCCCATGTCCCTCTAATAAAATGAAACTTGACACACACCCACCCCCCGCGCTCAGTTTAGCTCTCCTATTTCAGCTTCTCTGACGGTGGCATAACTGAAGGTCATATTTCATTCAAGCCAATGGCTTCCAGCTCTAAGTGCAGGTGGCTTCTGAATAGTCAGCCGGAATTTATCAAAGGGAACAGCAAACGAGTGCATGTTAAACACCACCCGTTGCTCAGTGGGGAAAGGGGAGCGGTCAGGCTGCACACAGCCTTGCTGTTAAATCCACCCTCACACGGTTCTCAGCCTGTGCCAGGACTCGAACAGGAAGCAGGCGGGGCAAGGATGCCAGGGATGTTGTCCTAATTCCATAGTGAATTTATTTAATGGCAGCCTTTTTTTTTTTCAGCCTTTCACTTCCTTCCTGACAAAATGAGGAATATTGCCCTTATTTTTCCTGTTCTTTTTGAAAAGGCAGACAGGTTAATTAGTGATTTTATGATGCTTCTTGATCAAATAAATCAGCTAACACTCGAAGATGGGTATATTCACTGGAGATGTGACAAATGTCATAGAAACTCAGAAATTTGTCCATCGTGGAACAAGAAAGCTCAGTTCACAAGCTAACTTTTTCCAATGCACAAAAAGCATGCATTTCAGGGACGGGCCGGCACAGGGATGGTTAACTAACTCCATCAGCCTCAGACAGTGTCTCAAGAGGGACATTGGGGAGGCGCCCACAAGAACGGTGATTATAGCTTCCTCCTGTTCTCCAGCATTAAACACAAGATGGATTCTTCTTAACATGACATCACACGCACACACATGCACACACATGCACACACACGCACACAGCCTCAACAGACCCTCCTTTCTCAGAGACTCTGTGACTCTTCTGTCTGAACGATGGCTGCTCCCCTGCTGGAAACAAAGGTTGTCAATTTCTTA